TCTTTTTCTTCTATTTATCTCCCATGTTGGCCTCTGCAGCTCCCCTCTGGCCCTCTCCAGTTCATTCTCCACAGAGCAGCTGAGTGATCATGAAGTACACAAATTACCATGTCAGTCCCCTGCTTAAAAACCTCAGAGGCCAAGGTCCGTACCCTGCTCCCTTCTCATCTCGGGCCACTCTCCTGTTTGTTCTCTGCTGTCAGCCACTCTGGTCTAGTTCAGGCCTTCAGGTGCTCTGTGCCCTGTCCCGCCCTGGGGTCTTTGCAGACGCTGTTCCTCTGCTTGGACAGCTCCACGCCATCCTTCCCCTTCCCCTACCCCTGTGCTAGGCAACTCCTGTTCATGCTTCAGAACGTAAACGTCTCTTCATGGAGAAACCTCACCTACTACTGTCTGAGAACATCAAGCCTCCAGGTGATATCCTCTCACAGTTTGTCATGACTTTTTACGATAAACAGCGTTTATCATGGTCTATGATGATTTATTTATGGGATTATTTGATTAATATTTGCCTTTATGCTAGACTGTGAGTTCCTTGGGTTAAGGAGCTTCTTTGTCTTGTTAACAGTGTATTTCAAGCAGATTGTCTGGTTTATATTAGATGCTCAATAAATATTTGGAGAATGAATGAATGTTGACCGCACACATTAATAGTGAAATTTCCACTGCTGCACTCACCCACTGAAGCTCCGTCAGCACTGGGATTTATAGCATCTGCTAGCCACTGTCTTATTTAAGGGTGGGCTGCCCAGCACATGTGCAGGGTAGTAACACGGCCCACTCACATAGATCTGCACATCTACAGGGCATCTCTGCCTATGAACAGGGAAAGAGTACACCTCAGTTGCCCACTTGCGCATAACATGATCAGTCCTGCCGCAGGGGAACAAATGGGGCTCTGTGATCCCACAAACATCCTTCAGCCTCACAGAGTTGGAAGAATTCTCCCACACATTTTCTGTTCAGTCAATTATTTCTGCTTATCCTTCGAGGCACAGCTTAAAGTTTATCCCCTCAGGCTTCCCTGGTGGCGCAGTGGTTGAGAGTCCGCCTGCCGATGCAGGGGATGTAGGTTTGTGCCCCGGTCCGGGAAGATCCCACATGCCGCAGAGCGGCTGGGCCTGTGAGCCATGGCCGCTGAGCCTGCGTGTCCGGAGCCTGTGCTCTGCAATGGGAGAGGCCACAACAGTGAGAGGCCCACGTACCGCAAAAAAAAAAAAAAAAAAAAAGTTTATCCCCTCTGAGAAGCCCTTCTTCATCTGGTAGTCAGGACTCTTAGTTGAAAACACCACAAACCTATTCCAGAGAGATTGTTGAAATAGAAAATTTGTTGGTAGGATGTTATCTCATGTAACTTTGGGAAGTTCAAGGGCAGTTGGGCTCCAGGAACACAAATGCTGCCTGAAATTTCTGTCTGTATCTCATTGCATGTCACTACCAGAGAGGAACTGCCTCTGTTTCCTTCTTTCTTTTTTCTTTTCTTTCTTTCTTTCTTTCTTTCTCTCTCTCTCTCTCTCTCTTTCTCTCTCCCTCTCTCCCTCTCTCCCTCTCTCCCTCTCCCCCTCCCCC